CAGTTGTGAAAACAGCGTTGTACCTTCATGAGTATCGAGGAAAGATAACTTTGTGGCGTGGGCAATGGCTTGCTAGGCTCTTGCGAAAGCGGCAATGGCGGTGTTAGGGCAAAGTAACAGATTTTTCTTTGGACCCAAGTAAATCGCTCGGTGGCTGTAAAATATCTGCACAGTGAGGGATGAGTCACCGGTAATAGTTGAGGATACCTATGAAACGGCAAAGTTAGGTGACAGTGGAGGGTATGGGAAAAGACTCTAGGGTCAAAATGGGATAGGGTAATTGTGAAATACCTGTTGGGTCAATGTGGCGGCCAAGAAAATCCAGGTTAGTAACACTGAATAATTATTTGTCAATGTTTAAACGTATGTTGTAAGATGAAAGACGTTCAAACACTACCCTAAGATGAGCTGCATGCTGAGTTGGAGGTGCTAGCGATTAAAACATCGTCAAGATAGGCATGCAAAAAGGGTAAACCACATAAAACTTCGTCCACGCAACGTTGGAACGTTTGAACTGCATTTCGAAGACCAAAGGGCACACGCGTAATTCGAAAAGAGCGACCGGTTGGGTGTACTGACATGGATGATTGAGGGTTGGAAATTCCCTAAGTATGTCAGCAAAATGTGAATCCGGTAAGATAACTCGGATACCTACGGATGAAGTTGGGGCACCAATTCCGTTGACTGAGTTGGAGGTTAGCATGTCCAAGAGGCGTTTGTGTCGAACATCGGCTGATAGGTTGAAGTGGGTCAGGAAGCCTGCACCGATGATGGGTGTTTGGTCGTCGGCAAAAAGGAAGATCCACTTGAACGCACGTCGCAATCCGGGGTCAAGGGTGAGAGAACGTTCGCCGTATGCAGCAATGCGGGTACCGTTAGCGGCTTGTATGGAGAATGAAGCAGAATCGGGAAGCGGTAGCACACTAACTTCAGCTCCCGTATCTACGAGGAAACGTAGACCATTTGAATGATCGGTGATCTTGAATAGGTGAATAGGTGACTATCGCGAGGAGGGCCACAACAGTCGTCGTCGTTATGGACTAGCCGGGATGCTTAAAGGGGTGTTGGAACGTGCCTTGAAGGAACAAGGTGGCTGACACTTGCGTGCTTTTGGGCCATAAGATTAGTAATACCAGTACCAAGAGGGACGGGCAAGAGAGAACGGTATCGTGAACGTGGTCGATGCCTGTTGATCTCTAAACGTTGTGAGCGATCGGTTAAAGCATCATACTTAGCTTGTAGGTGAGATATAGAAGCAAGAAGCGGGTCGGAATCTGTAGTGGGCGCAGGGCGGGAGACGGAGTTTACGGGGATGCTGGGATAAGTTTCGTGGATCTTCTCCGCCATTTAGGGTAACTGCTCCAAGCTCTGTTCATCAACAAAAGCACTGATAACGTGAGACACTGAGGGTGGAAGTTTGTCGAGCCATAGTTGGGCCATAATTTCCACCACTAGCTTACGGCCGCAGAGAAGACTGCGCATGTGGCGAAGCAGTTGTGATGGCGATCTGTCCCCAAGTTCCACAGTGGTGAATAGATCCTGTTGCATTTTGTCTTCTGAATTCCCTGTCCTACTTATGATGGCCGCTCGAAGGACGTCATACAGGTTTTCCTTTGGAATATCTTCCAATAGATCTTCCACTTCTGTTTCTA